GATGATATTATTCATCATTTAAATTAACTTAAGAGATTTTGAAAGAAAAACAATTCATCATTAATTATAGGGAATTCCTAAAATGACAAAATGAGAAAGTCCCACGTAGTCTTCTTACACTCAACATCTTGCTTTGCCATTGCAGAGTCACTTTTAAGGATATTCAGAAGTGTTAGATGTGTAACTGCACCAGACCAGTCTGGTTTAACTTTTTTTTTTTTTTTTCAAATTTTTATTTTAGGTTCAGGGGGTACATGTGCAGTTTGTTATGTGGGTACATTGTGTGTTGTGGGGGGTTTGGTGTACAGATTATTTCATCACCCAGGTAATAAGCATAGTACCTGATAGGTAGTTTTTCAATCCTTACCCTCCTCCTCCCTCCAGTAGGCTCTGGTGTCTATTGTTCCATCTTTGTGTCCATATGTATTCAATGTTTAGCTTCCACTAATAAGAATATGCAGTGTTTGGTTTTCTGTTCCTGTGTTAATTTGCTGGTTCAACTTTGTGGTTCAACATTTATGTAGCGAAGCTGTGAGTTGTTTTTTAGTTGCCATGGACCCCCAGGTTGAAGGTCATGTAACTTGCGGAGGCCCAGATGAACTAAGAATGCAACCATGGGCAGAACCTAAATGCTTGGACCACTAAGTTAAGAAGTGGACAGCACATGGCAGGATCCAGGATTCAATGAGATTGCGCCCTCGTGTCACCTCATGGCAGGATCCAGTCAGATTATGCCTCCCAGCCTCACCTTACTGCAAGATCTAATCAGGTCACGGCCTCATTACCCTCTGACTATAGAACCTGAGACAAGCGCCGGGTGAGGACACAGATTTGAGCCAGACCCCTGTCTCCTTGCTTGGCAGCCTTGCAATAAATTTTTCTTGCTACAAAAACCGAGTGTTTCGGTGTTTGGCTTTCCACTGCACAGTGGGCAGAAGGACCCAGTTCCATTCAGTAACAGATGTCCTTTAATTAATCAAGCTTTATGGTAAATTTCAGATTAAATTTTTTTTGGAAGACCTGTTTAGCTTTCCACAAAATAATTATTTCCACAAAATAATTTTAGTTTCCAATAAGCTTTTTTTTTTTTTTTAGAAATAAGGCCAATATCACCACCAATAATAATAACAGAGGCATGCATTAAGGCCTAAAAGTGAATCTTTAAGATGTCAATGTCAGCTGGGCACCGTGGCTCACATCTATAATCCCAGAAATTTGGGAGTCTGAGGCGGGTAAATCACTTGAGCCTAGGAGTTCGAGACCAACCTGGACAACATGGCAAAACCCTGTCTCTATAAAACATACAAAAATTAGCCAGGCATGGTGGTGCATGCCTGTAGTCCCAGCTGCTTGGGAGACTGAGGTGGGAGGATCACTTGAGCCCAGGAGGCGGAGGTTGCAGTGAGCCAAGTTTGCCCCACTGCATTCCAGTCTGGGTGACAGAGACCCTGTCTCATTTTTAAAAAGTCAAATGTGATAATATGCTAACAAAATACGGAATTCTACAGAACTACAGAAGTTGTCAATGAGGGTAATTGTAAACCATCGTCCACTGCTTAGGTGATGAAGCCACTTTCTTCACAAAATCCCCAATACCTTCAAATTCCATCAGTTGGTAACAAAATGCTGTCAAACTTGTAATTATAGCTATTTATAGTAGTGGAATAAATAGAATCACAATTATATTTCACAATTTACATAGCTGATTTCATAGATGTACGTATACATAGAGATATAGATAAATATAATGTTCCTGACAGTTATAGAACTATTTTTCCTCTGAGAAGTTAGATAGGGTAGCAATACATTCCACTAATCCCTCCTCCGTAATAGTTACACATATGAGACTTTCTGATGGAAGACGGATGAAAGAGGATGGATCGAGAATCATTCTCAGGGTTTTGACTTCACTGTCCAGAGGACACTAAATGAAGGCTGGCCCATTAACTTAGTAAAGATAAAAGGCTGAACCATTCACTTAGTATAATAAAATCAAGTGAGCACAACTGAAGTTTGAATTTGGGCATACTAATTTCGAAGTACAAAGAAATTGGTCTGGAGTGCAGATGAAATCATTGCAATGGAAAGGAAGAGCTGAGAGCCATCAAGGCACAAGTGATCATTGAAATCCTGGATGTGAATGTGATCATTCAGGAGGCCCTGAGGCCCTGGGAAACACCAACATGTAGGGGGCAAGTGGAGAACAAGAAGCCCAAAAATATGAGGGAGGAGGAAGTCAGGTAAATGAAGGAAGAATGGAGAGAGTATTGCTTTTGAAATCAAAAGGAAGACAGAACGTCCAGAAAGAGTGTTTAATGGGCCGGGTGCGGTGGCTCATGCCTGTAATCCCTTGGGAGGCCGAGGAGGGTGGATCACAAGGTCAGGAGATCGAGACCATCCTGGCTAACATGGTGAAACCCCGTCTCTACTAAAAATACAAAAAAATTAGCCGGGCGTCGTGGTGGGCACCTGTAGTTCCAGCTACTCAGGAGGCTGAGGCAGGAGAATGGCATGAATCTGGGAGGCAGAGCTTGCAGTGAGCCGGGATCGCACCACTGTACTCCAGCCTGGGCAACAGAGCGAGACTCTGTCTCAAAATAAATAAATAAATAAATAAAAACAGACACACACACACACACATTAAAAAAATAAAAAGTGTTTAATGAAGCAGAGTAATATGTGCCTTGGCCACACAATCTTATCAAAACTAAGCGAGGATGGATATTTTAGCTCTTAGCTTAATAAGCTATTGGTATTTTTCATCCGTTTCCTATTAGCTGTTTTCAGGATAATTGTTTAAAACTAACTTATGGAACATAACCTATGTATCAGTTTCCTAAGACTGCCATAACACATTACCACAAACTTGGTGGTTTAAAACAACAGAAACATATTCTCTTAGTCTGGAGGCCAGAATTATGAAATTAAGATGTTGGCAGGGTTGGCTGCTGCTTAGGGGTTCAAAGGGAGCCTGTTCCAGCTTCTCTCCTAGCTTCTGGCGGTGTCCGGCAACCTTGCCATTCCTTGGCTTGAGTCAGCATAAGCAGGATCTCTGTCTCAGTGGTCACACAGTGTTCTTTCTGGGTGTCTGTGTCCAAATTCCCCTCTTTTTAGAAGCACAGCAGACACCGGATTAATCTCATATGACCTCAGGTTAACTTGATTAAATCTGCAAAAACGTGATTTCCAAATAAAGTGATATTTGGAGGCTTTGGGTATATCTGACTTTATGGACCCAGTGCACTCACTGTTAAGGGTATGATCGCGAATTTATAGGTCCTACTGCAACTAGATTCTAAACTTAAGTATAAATTTAAGAAATCAGAATGGTGCAAAAACAGATAAATTATATGTGGGCACCAAATTTTTACACTTCAGTCTCCTTCAATTGCAATAGGAGCCCAAAATAAGACTCACTTTTTAGAAATTCATACTGAGCTGAATATTTTTATTTGACGTCTCATTTGGTAGAAGAGAGATCCCTTTCAACTGTTTCTATAAACAAGAATTTTTTTTCTCAGTAAAATATAAAATCATAAAGCCTTTCCAACTCTTGGGCTTGGCAGTTTCCATAACCATGCAGATGGCTAAACTAATGGACTCTTTAAAACTCTTCAAGTAATAAGAGGTGCGGCAAAGGACCATACATTTATTGAGACAAAACTACCTTTTATTATCATCAAATATTTACTATGCATCATGGTCTTTGTGGCACCATTAGGTATTAAGTGTATTAGGGCCTTTAGGCCTTTGTTTTAGGAAAAATAAAAAAACAAAAAGATTCCCAGCTTTCCTTGGGATGACATTGGGGAAGAGCCAGATATGTGAACAAACATAAAAGTAACATTTTAAAATAATCCTGACATTATTTTGAGTCATCCAGTCAATTCAATATAGGATTCTAAGATATGTTTATGGTCGATACTTGCTGATGACTCTTGGTTCCCTCCCCCACCCTCCTCCTACAACCTTCCTTTTGTGACACTTTCCAGGGTCCCCAAACTCAAACCAAACTGGGCTCAGCTGATCTGGAGCAAGTCCCCCTGCCTGCTGATCTGTCAGGCATCCAGACAGGTGAGGCTATGGGATCCCCCAGTCCGAGGCTGCCTCGGAAGGCTCCTGTTATCCTCTAAGAGAGGTCAAATGCACCTTTCAAAGGCCCAGACACGGTAAAGATTGAATGGCATTTTTGGCCAGGTGCGGTGGCTCAGGCCTGTAATCCCAGCACTTTGGGAGGCTGAGGCGGGCGGATCACGAGGTCAGGAGATGGAGACCATCCTGGCTAACACGGTGAAACCCCGTCTCTACTAAAAATGCAAAAATTAGCCGGTTGTGGTGGCGGGCGCCTGTAGTCTCAGCTACTAGGGAGGCTGAGGCAGGAGAGTGGCGTGAACCCGGGAGGCGGAGCTTGCAGTTAGCCGAGATTGCGCCACTGCACTTCAGCCTGGGCGACAGAGTGAGGCTCCGTCTCAAAAAAAAAAAAAAAGTTTGGATGACATTTTTAAGGGGAAAAGTAAATCATGTGTAGCATGTCGTTGCAATGGGAAATAAAGGCTTCGGGACTGTTGCAGCCGAAGAAACTTTGTCGGACAGGGCCTTTCTAGCTAGGACGCAAGTAGGGAAAATATGGGGACCCTATGATTCGGTTCAAACACGTTTTCATTGCTCTGGACGCGAAATGGAAACACGGTCAGAAGTTTGGTTAAAGGACTTCTCTTGCCTGAAGATTTTCAGCCGGGGATCTCACGGGTTTGGCCTCTGGGTTGGGATGACAAGTGTCCCTGTGGGATACACAGCCCCAAGCCTCATCGGTCACTCGGCTTCCCTCTGGTTCCGCCGGCTGGCCCGGGCGTCCTCGGCCCGGGCAGCAGCAGCGCTGCGCGCAGGGCGCGGAGCCTCGGCCGCGGAGTTTTGGGTTTCCATGTTTCCTTCCCAGGCCTCTCCCACTTCCTCTTCTTACCCGTGCCCGCCCGCCCGCAAAGTCCGGGTTGTGAGGCCGCGCCTCCCGCAGGATCGCGGCCGCCTACCCCCGGGACCGAAGGGAGGGAATTCCTGTGGGTCCCAGGAGTGCCAAGAGTGCGCAGCAAGACGGGAAATTGCAAAAGACCTCACCCCTCTGCCCTCCCCCGCGGTTTTCCCGTAACTCCCGCCCCTCGGCGCTTGCCCCGCAGCTGATTCATAGCCCCGGCCCGGGCCGCCTCTGCACGTCCGCCCCGGCGCCCGCACCCGCGCCCCACGCGCCGCCGAGGACTCGGCCCGGCTGGTGGAGCCCTTCGCCCGCGGCGTGAGTACCCCCGACACCCCGGCCCCACTCGGCTCGCGCCCTGCCGCAGCGCCGCCCTCGGTGGCTTTTCCGACGGGCGAGCCCGGTGCTGCGCGGGAAAGAATCCGACAACTTCGCAGCCGGTGCCGGCTGGACGCGACCGGGAGTGCAGCCGCCCGTTCCCCTCGGTGCCGCTTCTGCCCAGCGTTTGCTTTGGCTGGGCTTCCACCTGCGCGGGGACGGCGCTCGGAGGGTCCTCGCCCTTGGCCCGCCTACCTGGTGGGTAAACACTAAACGATTCATTCCTTACAGGCCGCACACTGCCGAGTCGCCCATTTCCCAGCCTGTTTGAAATTCACCATCCCAGCGCCTCTTTCTCAAATGATGGGGGAATGTTTGTTGAGTGAAAATTCCCACTTGAACCCCTCTTGCCTCTCTCCCAACACATCGTGTGGGGGAGTTCATTGCTTCCCCTCTCTCTCCTCTCGTAACCCTTAACTCCCACCTGACAGAGCCATTTCTCTGGGAATCCGTGTCTCTCTTCAACCTGGTCCCTAGAGAAGCGGGAGGAGCTCACGCACAGGTGGAGAGAGGAACCCCCAGGCGACGCTGCAGTAGTGTCCGTCCGGGGCGCTTACTTTCTTCTCCAGCTACGTGAGTGGAAGTGGTCCTCTACATTCTGGAAACCTAGGCACAGAGGGGTTCAGGAACTTGTCCAAGGCCATATAGCTAGCTGTGAGGGCACTGAAATCCGAGCCCGGCTTTCGCAGGCCAGGGCTTTACCCCTGACACTGCGATTCCTTTCTCGATAGTTCTTCATCTGCCCGTCATCCACCCACCCATGCATGCCTGCATCCGTCCATCCATCCTGCCTGCCCTGCTGCGGGAGGCACAGTGCTAGGTGCTGCTGATGGAGTGGCTTGGTAACAGACCTGCCTTGAAAACACTTTGGGAACAAGATATTCAAGAGAAGTAAATGGAAGGGTCTATGTAGGCAGAGAAGATAGAATTGAATGTGGGATACTTAGTTTGAGCTAGAAGGAATTCTGATGGAGGAGAAAGAAATTTTTGGGTCTTATTCCCAAGATTGAAACTGACTTTGGAACACGGGTCAAACTACTTATCACCTCTTAGATTCCTTGTCTGCAAATAATAATGGTTCATACTTACTGTGGACCAGCCCCTATTCTAAGCACTTGACATATGCTAGCTCATTTAAGCTTCATGAGTGAGGCGGGTACTAGTTTTTTATTCTTATTTTATTGAGGAAACTGAGGCCCAAAGAGGTTTGTAACTTGGCTAGGGTCACACAGCTAGCAGGTGACAGTATCGGGATTTGGGTTTGGAGTCTGCTCATGATCCCTGTGCTGCAGCTGAAACTCTAAGACTGGGTAGTGTGTTTCATTATGATTCCTGCTTTGTCTCTCTCCTGGACTGCTATAAAATGCACTCAGAGCCCTCGATGTTCCCAAACTCTGCTGTGTCTGCGAATCATTTCTGGAGCTTTCAAAGCATCAAACTCCAACCACAGCCTCCTATTCAAAATCTTCAGGAAATCATCAGTTGCATGATTCCCACATAGCATTTGTTCAGTGCCTTCAGTGGCAGGAAGCTCACCACCTCACATTTTATTGTGGGAAGAGCTAGTTCTCAGCTGTAAATTGCCTCCATGTGACTTATATCTTGGTCTCAGTTCCCGTTTGTCCCAGCAGGTGTGGCTAAGCCTTTTGTATCAAAGGTTGCTTTGAGAGAAAAGGCTGGTTTTGGGTGTTTCTTCCGCAGGGACTCGAGCCACATTGGGGAGAACACATAAACACTGGATATTTCCCCCTCTACCCTTTTCTTTAACCTGAACAGACCAGGAACACATGCAGAGGTGTTCCTGGATCTCTCATATTTTTGTAACCCTTTTGTCCTGAGGACAAAACCGAATCAGAACTATTACGGTTTTGAAAGAGGAATCAGTGGTACTGTATTTGACAAGAAGAAGGAGTATGTTTTCCCTGTGGAAAAGGTCTGGGGCGTTCGTTGGTTGCAATAGAAGGGAATCTTAGTGAGTGTGGTCTCGCTCACTTACAGGAATGGTGAGCCTTGGCCCTCCTTTCCCTGGGAGAGGAAATCCTTAAAAATCCTTAAATTTCTTAAAAAATGTGCCAAATGGGGGGAAAAAACCCAAACCAAAACAAATAGAATATCACGGCCTTGCTGGAGAAACCCCCTCCTCCAAGCAGGCTTCTTTGTAGCTACATGAAGGGAGAATTTTTTTCCAACAGCTGTGTCGGTGGCTTCATAGCCTTCCTTCCCTCCTCATTTTAGTTCTACTGGTTGCTCTGCATTTGTGCACTCCATGTTGTATTCTATTTTTATGTTTTAAAAATAATACAAATAATAACTCATTCTCAAACAATATAGAAGTGAAGTGAAATGTAGACGTGCCATCACCATCCTCCCTACTGCCACTCAGAAGAGGGAAGGTTAAGTTTGATAATACCATTCTAAGGTTTGTTTTTCTTTTCTATAGATTTACATAATACTACATATACATATGTTTTAAATATGCAAATGATCTTATTATACTTATTGTGCAGCTTACTTTTTCACTTTCCAAGTCTTAGAGACCTTTCCATTGTCTCTCTGTACCTTTTTTGTTAATGGCTATGTGTTGTTCTTCTTTTGTGTGTGTGAGATGGTCTAACTCTGTCACACAGGCAGAGGTACAGTGTCATGATCATGGTTCACTGCAACCTCGACCTTCTGGGCTCAAGTGATCCACCTCAGCCTCCTGAGAAGCTAGGACTACAGGCACATGCCACCACACCTGACTTTTTTTCTTTTTTCTTTTTTTTTTTTTTTTTGTACTTTTTGTAAAGATTGGGTCTCTCCATGATGCCCAGACTGGTCTTGAACTTCTGGGCCCAAGCAGTCCATCTGCCTTGGCCTCCCAAAGTGCTGGGACTATAGGCGTGAGCCACTGTGCCTGGCCAGCTACATGTTATTCTAAAGTAGAAACAGAATGTAATTTATCCATCCTTTCCTGTATTGATGGACACTCAGCATTAGCAACATTGCTTCAGGGCAGATCACATATTCATCTTCCTGCTCAAGTGTGAATATTTCTGTGGAAGAGAATCCGAGGAGAGGTATTCTTGTTTCAAAGGGTTTGCCCATTTTTCCATTTGATAGATACAAAGTGAAAGGTAAAGATGTAACTTAATTTTTTTGTAAAGTTTAAGACAGTTGATCCAATAGCATTTATTTAATAATTCGTCTTTTTTCCAACTCATTTGAAATTCTGTTTTTATCATTAAATAAATTCCTGTTTGTAAAAGGGTCTGTGTCAGGACTCTATTCTGTTTCATTGATCTTTTTTTTTTTTTTTTGTCTTTTCCTATACCAGTATCACTCTAAGTTAACTACCGTAGCTTTATAGTGTTTTTAAAACTCTTGTAGCATATATTTGTACTTTGAAAAATAACTTTTTTACAAATCACATACATTTTCTATTTACAAATAGCCTGTCAAGTTTAATACAATCCTATTTTTAATTAAGATTTTATTGAGTTTATAATTGTTAGCAATTTTTAATGCTTTAATGTCAACTTTAGTATGAGCTCCAAGCTTTAAGGAAGCTGTGTCATGTGAACTTTGGTTAATGACTTATCTGATTTCAAATACTGGCTTCACATCAGATTAACTGGGTCGCTTTGGATAAGTTACTTTTAAACTTTCTTATCCTTAATTTCCTCCTTTGTGAATGGGAATAATAATATAATCCTTTTCTTAGCACTGTTGCGAGGATTCAATTAATAAATGCATGTAGGTCACTTAGCAAAGCACCTTGTAGAGAGTTAGTATCTAATACATGCTAGCTGGGATCTTTTTCATATTTATATCTTACTCATAGTTTTGCAGAGTGCCCTACTGGTAATAGGAACCAGTAAATAATTTCCTTTATTTATTGATAGTATCCTAAGAGACAAAAATATATCATATATTTTAAATATAGTAGTGTTTCTCAAACTTCACTGTGCATATGAATCACCTGAGGAGACTGTCTAAATGCAGATTCAAGAGGTCTAAGGTCTGGCCTGAGATTTTGCATTTCTAACAAGCTACCAGGTAGTCTTTATACTGCTGGTCTTTTGTCCACACTTTGGGTATACAGTCTTGCACTACTATTTAAAGTTATGCTGCTAGTGATAGTACTTCTTATTTGTAATGAATGTGATTGACAGGGTTTGTATATTTATTCTTTTAAAATTACATGCTAAAGAACTAAATTACAGTTGTTTTCTTTTCTTCCTTCTTCCCTCCCTCCCTTCATTTTTGTTGAAAGAAAGAGGGTTGGTGAGATCGCTAAATAGAATACCTGGCTGTGTTCTTAGATCTGGAATCATTGAGGCAATTAACCATCTGAATTATTTTAAACTGTTGACTTAAGATGAAGACAGTCACATAAAATATATGCAGCCTGAATATGACATTTAATGTCAACTAAAGAAAAGCACAATTGTAAGTGGTTCTGCAAATAGAAAATGTAAGACATGAAGAACACTTGGGAAAATGTAAGACAAAATAATTCTCAGAAAACAGTGATTGAGGGTCCATTGTTCATGTGTATGCCAGCTTTTGAGAAGATGTGTATCGACAGAAGTTATGCTTTCACGTGAGTAAATTTTTCATACACCATGTTATTTCTTGGTCACCTCTTTCTACTTTCAGCCTCCCTAATGGGGGATTTTGAGCAAGTTTACTTCATATATATACTTCAGGGTGTCCGTCTGTCAGCAGGGGATGGTAGTATGATTTTTCTACTCAGGACATTGGCTACTTTTTGCATTTGGAAATGGATCATTAAAGTATCTACACTCTCTCAGAACCTAAGAGGTTACATTTTCTGTACAGAAACACACGGCATCCTCCCAGGTTGATCTAGTATGTAAAAACTGTCAGCCTTTTTCAAGACTGTTCAATACCATGGGTTGGATTGGAAACATAAACACTGTCAACTAGTTTATTCGTGTTGCGATATATGGTTTCAAGTGTGGAAATAAGGAAATTGTCACTTGCACAAGACTGAGCTTAATATGTTTAAAACATGCACACACACACGTTTTAAGGAATGCTTAATGTTGCAGAATTGTATAACTTGAAATGAGTTGTCTATAATTTCTCTTATTCTGGCCACCTCCCTCCCTCCATCTCAGCTCTAAATTTATAACTTAGTAAGTAGGTGTGTCTTTTGGGGCCAGTGTGGATCCCTCAAGTAGAAGACAGCA